GGGATTACAGGCCCGAACCACTGCTCCCAGCCTTTATTTCACTCTTGAATTATGATGTTCAAGCCAGGTGCAGTGACTCACACCTGTAATCCCAGCACTTTGGGAGATGAGGCTATCGAGACCATCCTGCCTAACACAGTGAATCCTCATCTCTTCTAAAAGTACAAAAAAATTGTCCGGGTATGGTGGCAGGTGCCTGTAATCCCAGCTACTCGGGAGGCTGAGGTAGGAGAATCTCTTGAACCTGGGAGGCCGAGGTTGCAGTGAGCCGAGATTGTGCCACTGCACTACAGTCTGGCAACAGAGGGAGACTGTCTCAAAAAAAAAAAAAAAAAAGAATTATGATGTCCAAAAATCAGATATGTGCTTTCATATGTTTTCATATGGCATTGTGGCAGGACAGAGTAGGTTGTGACACAGTGACAAACTCCAAAATCTCAGCAGCTTAAAACACAAAATTTTAACTATTTCTTGCTATGCTCTATTTCTTTTGCAAGTTGGAAGCAGGACTCTTCTTTTGGTAATTGTCCAGGGATCTTTGCTGGCCAAGTATCTGTCATCTTAAATGTTATCCATCACAAAGCCAAAGGGAAAAACAAATCCAATGAAGGAGACGCTGTCACTTAAAGCTTTCCAAGTGCACAACAAAGTATAATCCTACCATGTGCTGAGAAAGAGAGACAGTCTGGGATTTTTTTTAAATTGCATTTTAGGTTTTGGGGTACATGTGAAGAACATGCAAGATTGTTGCATAGGTACGCACATAGCAATGTGATTTCCTGCCTTCCTCCCCATCACCTATATCTGGCATTTCTCCCCATGCTATCTCTCCCCAACTCCCCACCCCCCGCTGTCCCTCCCCTATTTCCCCCCAACAGTCCCCAGTATGTGATGCTCCCCTCCCTGTGTCCATGTCTTCTCATTGTTCAACACCCACCTATGAGTGAGAACATGCGGTGTTTGATTTTCTGTTCTTGTGTCAGTTTGCTGAGAATGATGGTTTCCAGGTTCATCCATGTCCCTATAAAGGACACAAACTCTTTGTTTTTTATGGCTGCATAGTATTCAATGGTGTGTATGTGCCACATTTTCCCTGTTTCCACATTTCCGATGGGCATTTGGGTTGGTTCCAGGTCTTTGCTATTGTAAACAGTGGTGCAATGAACATTTGTGTGCATGTGTCCTTATAGCAGAACTATTTATAATCCTTTTGATATATAGCCAGTAACAAGATTGCTGGGTCCAGTGGAATTTCTATTTCTAGGTCTTTGAGGAATTGCCACACTGTCTTCCACAATGGTTGAACTAATTTTTGTAAACCACCATGTGATGATCACAAGAGCACTATTTACTAATTGTGTTCTTGTCTCCTGAAGTAATATTACTTTCAGGTCTTCCAAATCTTACTTTGACATTTGTGCTAATATGACCATTGGTGCAATTGTAATAGTGCATTATTAAATTTAGGAAGTTCTTATTTTATCTGTCAGTTTCCATCATAAATCTGGAGGGTATTTTCTAATTAGATATTTCAGTTTTTAATGTCAAAGAAGTAAATCATTTTGTCCTTTTGTAATAGAGTAATTGATGTAAAGTACTGACTTAGATCTCTGAGAAGTATAAATAAATCTGGAATAATGTGGGCATTTACAGTTTCTTAATACATTAGGATTTAGAAATTTATCAGTTGTGGATGGTTTGAGTTGGCCTGATGGTGACACTGGCAGAATACTTTTGTGAACTGATCTGCTTACTGTTGGATATGGTATTCTTGGAGTCCTTTAAAGTGAACCACTGTCTGGAACTCAGTTTGTAAAGAAGTATCTGGCTAATAGTCTATTCAGGCGTGTCTTTCTTTTATAAAAATTCTGTTGCAAATAAAATTGTATTTTTAAAATACTGTTCACCTCTCAAGAGTGTGGTTTTAATCTTCCTTTCCTGAATTCCTGAAGGCTTTGTGGCTGGTGCCTGATTTGTGTTGATGCTCTGTTGCTTGCACGTTGGATAGAAGTGAATATTTTTCTCTTACTCTTTTGTTTAATACAGAAGGCTGCACTGTGCACTCTCCTCTGTTACTTGAATGCATCTCAGTCTTTCAGAACTCCCACATGAGGACGACAATGAAAGCAGTCAGTAATTGTTGATGAAAGCTTTGTAACTTCTGCATCATATAACAATATGGAATTGTTACAAACAAAAGCTGGTCCCTCAACCTTCTTTGTATTCTGAGAAGGTTTACAAAAATTCAGGTATGGTCAAAGTTATGTTATTCTTCCAACTTGGTAAATGCAATATAAGACAGAACTTGATAAAAATTAACAAGATAATCTGACAAACTGAATATGTATATGACCAGTAAATTTCTCTCTTACTGATAGGTTTGGTGTTATGTCTCTGAGATAATCTAGAACTGAACTTGTTGAAGAAGATTTACCCATCTTTGCATTTATTACTGCAGTAAAGTCTCCAATGGATAATAGATTATCCATTGTTTATTATAAAATGTTTATTTTTTGGAAGGCCTGAGTTATAAATACTTATTTTTGGGGCGCATAAACCAAATCTAATGGTTTATTTAGATTATTTATTTATTACCTTGCCCATCCATTTTAACTTACAAAAATATAGCTGTACAAAAAAGAGAACAATAACTGAGAAAATTCAGGATATAAGGAAAACATGAATGAGAAAAATGAAGCTATGACAGCCGTTAAAACTGAGAATCAAAAATTGATATTGGAGCCAGATCTCTGATGCTTTGCATTACTGTTTTCCTCAAAATTTCAAAAATCACAAAGTTATTAAATCACATTGCTCTTCCTTTAATTTTAATAAGAATAAAAATTCTTGTTAATAATATATTTAAAAGCAGAAATGATTTTGTTCTTGATAAATAATATAAGTATATATTATAGCATTTTAAATATTTTAAATATGAATAATATGGTACTGAGGTAGTATATGTGGATAACAAATAACTCTGGAGGCTACTAATAGCAGAGAGCACAGCTGTAGAAAAGCCTGACCATTACCTTTTGTTCTAAATAGTGAGGGTAGGGGGCATGAATAGATTTATATTTTGGTGGCTATGAGGAAGATGAATCCAAGAGGTAAGACTGGTTAGACAGTGATGATAGTACCCATATGAGAAATGATAAGGCCACGGTGCAAAGAACAAAGATAAAAGGAGAGCGGGGCAAGTTCAAGAAATATTTGGGGGGGAAATCAATGATTTAATAGATATAACAATTGTCTTCATTTTGCACCAAGCCAGCTTCCCAATGTGTAGACTCCATACACATTTGTAAAATATTTTGTCATGAGAGATATCACACATGCAAAGGGTTTAGAGCATATATATATGCACAACTTAAAGAACAAAAATAACACGAACAACCTTGCTTCTCTACCATTCAACTTAAGAAAGGGACTACCATTATGAGAAACTTAGAAGCCCCTGATGGCCCCTCACCGATCAGAGCTGCCTTTCTTCTTCTAGAGCTAACCACCTAACCACTATGCTAAAACTTGTATTAAGCATTCTTTTGCTTTTCCTTAGAGTTTTACCATTTGTATTATATATATATATATATATATATATATATATATATATATATATATATATGGTATCTCTAAACAACATATTGCTTAATTTTGTCAGATTTTATATTTTATATTTTTTCTCTCAAATATTATCATTAAAACTGCTGTCTTAGCACAGGCAATCCTTTCTATTGAATTCCTCACAACAAGGCTTTGGTTAAAGGGACTATCTAAGCCCTGCTGTGTCTGTCTCCCACCTGCTCTTCCACACCATTTCTCCTTCTTCCATGCCCACAATTAGCTCTCTAAAACTCTATCTCGTGAACCAATACTCCACCTCTGTTAGCTCAACTCTCCCAGTCATTCTAATTGAGGGGAAAGAGTGGGAAAGTAAAATTACCACTGTGACCACGATTAAGACAACTTAGACCAGAAGCTTCATTCCAACCTCTGTGAAGCATGGAGAACACCAAGAAACACAGGCTGCTAGGAATTACTGCCTTGACTTTCCCTTGAGATTTCAGCCTTTCCAGTTCCCTTATACCAAGTAAAGCTTCAAAGATTTGGGGCTTCACTAATTCAAAAATTGTTAGAGTTCAGACAGGTACTCTGCTGAAGTTTAATTTTACACTAAGAATAATGACAGACTGCAAACAATACTAGTAGTATTAGGGGGATATTCACCAAAAAAAAAAAAAAAAACCTATCTGCATATTACGTATAAAGAGGATAGTCACAAAAAATGTATCTTCATAATATATGTAAGAAAGAAATTCACAAAAAAAAGATCTTCAAGTACTGCAAAAGAACTTGTTTACAATTTTTTTTTGCTTAAAATATATGTTACAGCCTCTCTCAGGAAATTCTACTAAGCAATCATTATGCTATTTCACATTGCTAGAAACAAATGATAATTTTCAGACTAATTTGATGTAGTTTTTCTCCCAAAGATTTCCACAATGTTTTTAAATAAACACAAATAAATTGCAAGACTGTTCACTGCATTTAATAAAATGGGAAATAGTACAGTGATTATACTTTGGTTTCCAGAAATAATTGTGAATATATATCTATATATTTTAGACAGGGTCTAACTCTGTTGCTCAGGCCGAAGTGAAGTGGTATGATTTTGACTCACTGCAGACTGACCTCCCAGGCTCAATTGATCCTCCCACCTCAGCCTCCCAAGTAGCTGGGACTATAGGCACATGCCACCATGCCTGGTTAATTTTTGTATTTTTTGTAGAGACAGGGTTTTGTCATGTTGCCTAGGCTGGCCTCAAACTCTTGAGTTAAAGCAATCCAACTGCCTTGGCCTCTTAAACTAATTGTTAATTTTAAAACTGCTGTTGATAACCACTCTTAACATATTTTACCCATAGGAAATCATTCTGAGAAATATAATTAACGTAGAAACAGAAATGTCAACATTTATTTAATTATCTAATTTACTCATTGCTTACCCATACTGGTTTTATTGATTTTATTTATATGCTATGCGTTTTAATTATCTATTGTATAATAAATTACCCCCAAACTTAGCAGCATAAAACAACAAACATGTATTATCTTACCGAGAGTTAGTTCTCTGGGGGTTGCTAAGCTAGGTGGCACTGCCTTGGCTGTCATTCCAGCTGCTGCCCTATCTGAAGGCTGAGGAAGGATCCACTTCCAGGCTTGCTCCATAGTTGTTGGCAGGCCTCGGTTTCCTGCCCGAGTCCTCAGGCTGGAGTCCTCGGTTCCTTACCAAATGAGACTCCAGAGGCTGTTTGATCGTCCTCTCATATGGTAGTTTGCTTCCCCACAGCAAATGATCTAAGGGAGAAAGAGTATGACTGCCTAAGATGGAAGCCATGGTCCTGATGACCTAACAACATCCCATGTGACATGTCATCTCTTCTGCTGGTTTCAATTGCTTGCATAGACCAACCCTGGCACAAAGCCTGTGGATACCAAGACGTGAGGTGTGAATACCAGGAGGCAGAGATCACCGGGATCCATTTTGGGGCTTTGCTAATGCATTATGATTTTTTAAAAAGAAGAATACAAAAAAGGGGAAGAAAACACAATATGGGGGAAGAAAATGTTCACACAGAAGGTCCAGAAAACATACCCAAATATATACGTGTGTGTGTGTGTGTGTGTGTGTGTGTAAAAAATACAAAACTATGGTTTGCATATATTTGAATATATTTTGGGGCTTTACTTTTATTTTTTGAGACAGGGTCTCACTCTGTCACACAGGCTTAAGTGCAGTGGTGCAGTCACAACTCACTATATCCTTGACCTCCCAGGCTCAAGTAATCTTCCCACCTTAGCCTCCTGAGTAGCTGGGACTACAGACATGTGCCACCTCACCTGACAAAGTTTTTAAATCTTTTGTAGAGACAAGGTCTTGCTGTGTTGCCCAGGCTGGCCTCAAGCAATCTATGTGCTCAGATGATCAAGTGATCTCATTATATTGTCCAACTCCTGGCCTCAAGTGATCTCCCTTGGCCTCAAAGTGCTGGGATTACAGGTATGAGCCACCATGCCCAACTCATTTCTGGGCTATTTCAGTCCTTTGATCTAGCTATTACAGCATCACCATTAAACTGTTTTTGATTATTATATTATTATAACATATCTGGTAGACAAAAAAGAGAAGAAAAATTTTAAATTTTTAACAATAACAAAAGTATAATTAAAAAAAAACTTTGCAACTGCCTTTTTTTTTTTTTTTTTTTTTTTTTTTTGAGACGGAGTCTTGCTCTATTGCCCAGGCTGTAGTGCATGGTGCAATCTTGGCTCACTGTAACCTCTACTTTCCTGGTTCAAAAGATTCTCCTCCCTCAGCCTCCCAAGTAGCTGGGACTACAGGCATACGCCACCATGCCCAGCTAATTTTTGTATTTTTAGAGATGTGGTTTCACCATGTTGCCAGGCTGGTCTCGAACTCCTCACCTCGAGTGATCCTCTGCCTCGGCCTCCCAAAGTGCTGGGATTACAAGTGTGAGCCACTGCACCCGGCCTTTATAACAGTTTTAGGCTCAAATAATCAATTCTGTTTTCATCTCTTTGCCAAATTCATTAATTTCAAAAAAGTGGTTATTAATTTCTGAAAAAATACTTTTTTAAACTTGGAAATGAAGTGTGGATAATAATGCTCAATAATCAATGGGAAAATGTTGTAAATGGAATAAATGAACTATTGGATCCCAGGGGCAAGTCAAGAAATATGTCCCGGTTAAGGTGATACAGATATACAGAACTTGCTTGAAGAGAAAAATGGATGATAGCAAGATACTCAACCACATTGGATCCCTGATACATTGGTTTGGTAATTTTTTATGTCTAGCACTTCTATCATGGGGTACTACTTTTACCAAATTCATTTCTACAGGGAGTTAGATGAAATTAGTGGCAAACTATAAAGTGGAGATACCTGCTTTCTCATTCTCCTACCCACCATCCTCCTTTACCAACTATATTATTCATCACATATTAACTGCAATGATAAAAACTAAAGCACTGGGTATAATGCAAAATAGGTTAATTTCTTGCTCAAGTCACAGTCCAATGCAAGTGCAGTGGGAAGAAGAGATGTAAAACTATTCTGCACATGCCCTCAGCTTGCCTTTCTCAACCCGCTAGACCTCAGCCTTTCCCTGAATTCTGTGCATAGGATGGGCGGACTAGACAGAACTTTGTGGATGATGCAAGATGCGTTCTAGAGGCCAGGCCTGCAAGCGTTGCACATCACTTCCATTGGTTAGAACTCAGTGACAGGACCCCATCAAGGGCATTTGGAAAATGTACTCAAATTGTGTGTCCAGAAAAAAAGATGGAGTTTGGAGAGCACGTATATCTTTACATATTACCCCATTAGTCTCCCTGGAGGATATGTGGGCTCTGATGAGAATGTTAAACCCTAGTAACCAGTCCTTCAATTTATACCTTTCTTGTATTTTATGCCTTGAAACAGTTATCCTTCAAATATATAGAAATAAGAAGAGACTTTACTGAATCTTAAAGCTACCTAGTAAGCTCTGAGCTGGGTGGTAAACAATAGGCTCAGAATGAAGAGAAAGGACTAGTTTGGAGCTGCTGTGAGTTATTGAGTGAGGTTGTGCTATTATTAAAATCTATTGTGCTCAAATGCTGGGTATTCAATAAATGCAAGACTAGGCAGGTGTGAATTCTTATTCATGGCACCTTCTTCTGTGCAATCGACATTTTAAAAACCTATCAAGTAAAACAATCTTCACTTTAAAATTTACATATGTAAACTTTGTAAATTCAACAAACTGTCACTTGAGACTATTTGAAGAAAAATGTAATGAAACATTCTGATTTCTAATGCTGAGATTTCAAAATCTTAAGCCTCAAAACCAACAGATTAGAATTGCTATTTTACCCCCTTGATTGATTTGCTTTTGTTATTAAGCATTAAATGACTCATGAAATCAGACAGCACTTATTTCTTTGCAATCATTTATCTAATTGACCTATATCTAAGCAAGAGACATAATTCTAGTCACTTGGTAGGCTTTATATGGGCAATTGGTGGTTGAAATTTTATCACTGAATTAAGGAACTGCAATACATTATTTCCTCTTGATAACATATTTGATTTTGGGTCTTCTCAATCCTTAGATTATGTAATTGGATTTTATCTAGATTGCATTAACTTTAACCTTCTGTTTTCCAACCTTGGTTAAAAATAATTCTAATTTGTTGTACAATTCTACCTATATTTCACTTTTCCTTCTCTCTGTTCTGCTACTTCCCCAAAATTTTCCTTATTTTATTATACATCTTCCATAAAGAGCTTCAGACGTAGCTATGTTAATTGATCCCTCCCTCTCTTTAGTTCCTTCTGTCCTTCCTTCCTTCCATTTAAATAAAAAAAAAAAATTTCACCACAGTGAATCATGGCAGTAAACTTCCTCGATAAATTCATGATGTGAGCCATTATAGCATCAAATAAAAGATACCTCGAAAAACAGTGTTTTAGAAAATTCTAATCAAAAGGGGATATGTGAAAATACTAATAAAATATGACCTTCAATTTTTTTTGTTAAAAGTATTAGTGAGAAGAATGGTCAAGCAAAAGAAATATCTTCTGCAACTACTCATTACTCCATCAGATTCTCCAGGCTATAAGTGCCCTAAGGGCAGGATTCTGTATTCTCACATCCTGATATAACTAGTCACTCGATACTTACTGAACACATGTGTCAATAAAATACATGTAAGAGTTATGACACATTTGCATATTCTGGAAAGCAGAAACCTTTGCATGTTGAGATATGAAAAACTGTGTACAACATTTAAGAAGCAAGCTATACAAATGCCTTTAATATGAATGAAATCTGTTTTTTTAAAAAAAAGCAATGAACATTCTTAGAAAGTTTTCTGTGATCTAGTTTACTGGTTTTTTTTCTTTAACCTGTGCTGACAGCTGCCTAATCACACTGAAAATGTCTCCTTTTGATTAAATCATTTTAGGAATGCAATTTGCTGTTCATTTTCTGATTCCCAAAAGATATATTGTCCAAACAAGAAATGGTTCATGACTCATAACCTTATTAGACAAATAAATGTTCTATTTAGAACATTTTAGAAGAAAACAGGAATGTGTTGGATTTCAACCATTTTATTTAAAATTGTGTGAATAAAAATGCAGGAAATGGGCCAGGCACGATGTCTCATGCCTGTAATCCCAGCACTTTCGGAGGCCAAGGCGGGTGGATGACCTGAGGTCAGGAGTTCGAGACCAGCCTGGCCAACATGACAAAACCCCGTCTCTACTAAAAATAACAAAAATTAGCTGGATGTGGTGGCAGGCACCTGTAATCCCAGCTACTTGGGAAACTGAAGCAGAAGAACCTCTTGAACCCGGGAGGTGGAGGTTGCAGTGAGCTGAGATCGCTCCACTGCACTTCAGCCTGGGCAACAAGAGCAAAACTGTCTCTCTCTTAAAAAAAAAAAAAAAAAAAAAAAAAAAAAAAAAAAAAAACAGGAAATGCATAATATTTTCATTTTTGCAGTATGAAAGAATAAATTGAACAGGTTTACAAAGCTTCCCACATTACTGTAACATCTAACATTTTTATAGTACATCCTACCGTAATATATTTATTGCTATAGTTCCCACTTGTTTGCAAGCTTCTCGGAGGCAAGGAACAATGCCCTCCATTTGCATCACTGGGACAATGCTTGGCACATAATATGCACTAATATTTTTGAGCAAAATTTAATTTGGTACCTGTACTATAAAACTGAAAAAACTAAGTCTTTTAAAAATAACATTAAAAACCAAAAATTCTCCTATTGTTTGATACAATTCCGAGATCAACTTGGCTGTTTATTAAAACATTAAGCAGTGTGCATAATACCTGTTTGTAGACAGGCCTAGTTGCTTATTTTGTTTTGTCCTACCTTCCAATGAGATTACGATAAACAAGGCCCATGACTTCATTTATAATCACCACAACGATAAGCATGTCATGAGCAAGCACTCAATAATAACTTGTACATTCAATGTTCAATAGTGTTTAGCACAAAGTGGTACCTGCTCTTGAATATACCAGATATTCAGTAAACATATATTAAATAAATTGAAGAATAGCATCAGGTAAGAGAGCACTGGCTTCTGTTTCCCCAGTCTTCTTTTCAGAAAACAAATATATGTGCATTCTTAACAGTATAAGATGAGGCGAGGAACTCTAATCTGAACTCTGCATACTCTGGGGTGTTAAGCCAATCCTGGTGCTCTCTGTAGCTCTCAACACAGTCACTTGATAGTCTGTTTTCCTCCCTTGCCCATTGTC